TAAGGTTAAATGAATTTATGCTTATATTACATCAAGCCCAAAGTCCTAGGCTGCTAAGAAATAAAAGAAAAGGAAAGGAACCCTTGATCTGGAAGATAAACTATCATAAGAAAGTATGCCTATAACCACGAAAGAATGAAAACTAGGATTATATGCAATAGTACATCTGGAAGAATATAAGTGTACTGAATGCAATCTTGTCTGCAGCACACTAGAATGCTGAGAAGAACCGCTCTCCCATTGCGAGAGTTAGGTGGAGTAAGCCACAAACAAAACAAACCAACAAAATAGATAAGGACATGGTTTCTATGAGTCATAGGACTTGAGTCCCTCTTAAAAATCCATTTTTGAGATGGATTTAAGAACTAAATTTTATGGAATATATAATATCTAATATGGAGATCATGAATATGTGAAAATAAATAAATTTTAAAATTAAAATGATAATTTCATGAAGAAAATATGTAGACCATTGGTTTTAACTTTTTTTTAGAGGGACCACACATATGCGTTGATCTTTAAGATGGATATTTTATACCTTGGGGGATGCAAATGTAGAAATGTGTCCCCCGATGCATACAACACTTTTCCAAAAGATAAATATCACATGACATAGATTCAAGAAAAGAAGAAACCGAAAAAAAAGACATGAAAAAAAAGGTAATCAAATGAATTGAGGGAAAAATATATTTGTGTTGGATTGGATTCATAGCAAGAACCAAAGATTAAAATAACATATAAGATCAATACCGTGCCACAAAACATCCATAAATCAATAACAAGTGAAACTCAGAGAAGTAATACCATGCAAATAAGCTTGGAATGACAAAAAGAAAAAAGAACAAGTAACCTAGCCCTCAATCAAAGCCCTAGCCCCAAGATATGATGCTCATAAAGTAGGCAGCATACATGGATCCATCTGGAAGGCAAAGCAGTGAAGACAAATAGAGTCTCTAGAACCAAATGCCTTTCTTCAGTTCATCTTGAAGCCCTAGACCCTAACTCTAGCTAAAAGGCAGAGGTCTCAGGTGGTTTTAAAGCAAGAAGTGTAACATTAGGTTTTTATTCCTGTTTCTTTGTCTCTCACTCGCTTTTTTTTTGGTTTTTAAAGAGGGGGGGGGGGGTGGGTTCATGTAGAGAGAAGAGTCCAATGCTTGAGAGGGAGGCAGAGGTTTCAGACAATGCAAGAATTTCAGTGAATAGGGAGAGTTTCAAAATTTCAGTGAGTTCCACTTTTTTTCAGTGAATTTAGGCGAGTTTTGATTGCAGGCAGCTAAACACTACTAAACCATACTGATTTGTATGCAGTATATTAATGGCAATCTGCAAAAAGAACATGTGGATTCAATTTCATTTGGAGCCAAACATGCCCTAAACAAAACAAAGTCAGTCACACAAGCAATAGCAGCTTCAGCAATAGACAGAGAAACAATATTCCTGTTTTTATTTTTCCAGGCCGCAAGACCACTTTCTGAATATGTACTACATATCCAAAACGATGGGCTGGGCTCCTGGACCAATCAATACTTCGAGAGCAAAAACTGAAATGATGTCCTGAGAATGTGACAGACAAATAGGGTTTTTTGGGATTTATTTCAAGTAAATTCAAACCCATGAAGGCATAAGCTACACCACGATCAAGCATCTTTGGATTTTGTAAAATCAGAAGCGCGACCTAATTGAGCTACAACAACCCGTTCCCATGAACAAGGAATGAAACATACGCCTGCCACGATCAAAGTAAAGGAAAGTACCATTAGAACAAAGGAATGTCACCAAAGAAGATGTAATCTCTTTGGTTGGAGGGTGGGTGGAATATAATTCAAACCAAGGACATTAGAGTCCAGAGGTAATGATCACATGGATGCTTTTGACGATAGAAATAAGAGGAATTAGTCACAAAGAAGATGAAACGCCTCCTCAGTTGATAAACTAGGTGCATTTATCGGAGGCTTGTGGAGAACCTCCCTTGTCTCTTAATAGTTTTCTTAAGACCTAACGGAAAGTGTTTTAGCATGCATATGATGTGAGAGGAAATATATTGCATATAAATATGACGTGTTTACTTAATTTTGTATGCAATCTGAACAAACAACATTCCAAAGTTTATATCAAAAGCATACCTATCAAATCAAATCTGACCAAAAATTAGATCAAGAGAGGTTGTTTCTTTTAACATCCACATAAAATCCATCATAGCCGCACCATGAAAAAGAGTTAGCTGGATGAGGAACTACAGGAAGAGCTTCCTAGGTTCTTAGCTCTTCATGTCGTTCGATCCTTGGGAGATTTTAAACTTGACAGCTAGTTCCCAGCTGCTTCTTAGTATCCAGTTCCACAACATCCAAATTCCATCAGCACTCATTGCACTTTCGACACATCCAACTTTGTTTTTCCCCGACTTCACCTCTTAAGGAAGCTTCTAACCAATCATGCTTCATCTCGTGGAAGAGCATCACAAAGCATGATTATCTGTAGTCCAATCTCTGATATCCTTAGGAATACAGTACAATGGACATAGGAGTACGATCAACAAAGGAGATGGAAATGTCTGTTGCCCATCATACATTATTTACCAAACTATAATCCTTTCATCCCTATTCCCTAACAAATATCCACATCATGACCCCAATACTCTATCATAAATGCAGAAAAAGAACACTCAAAAAAGAAATACTTCTTGATTGGCATATTTCATTAGAAAGATTGCAAAAAACATAAAATTGGAAGATACAAATTGGAGATTGGGTTGAAATGTCAATACAAAGTACTTGATCTCACTTAAAATCCCACTTTCTCCCGCCTTTAATGGATGCATGAATATTCATGACAAAATAGCCAAATTTGTTCCTGTTGTTTTGACATTTGTATCCATTTGTGCCTTTATAACATAGGTCTTAGACCCATGCCAATGGGAGCCATAGTAAGGCATGAGCTCCCACCCAAGCTAAGTTAGAGCAAACCCCAGGCGAGGGCAGCAGTGCACACCGCAATATGCGGGGAGCATGTCAGTCACAAATTGCTACTCAATTGTGGTGGAGGCAGGTAGTGAAATGCCCCAAAATTCTTTTTTGACCAGTGCCCAGCCAATGATGGAGTCTCTATTATGCTCCTACTTGATGCAAAATGAGCAAGTTCCAAGAGTTGAACAAATACTCAACTGAGATTGGAAGCAACCCAAAGGACGCCAACACATTGCAAAAGAATGGAGCACATCACAAGGTCAGCCCGTGTTGAAGGTTGTCCACATTAACAATCACAACCAAGCAAGTGAGCAAACCAAGGTGAGCTCTTAGTAAAGCAGGAAAGTTGCATGCTAGTCAAAAGGATGGTGCACCAGCTGAGCAGATGAGGGTGCAAACAAACCCATCAATGCCCCAAGGCTACTGTAACTCCAAATCATTTCATCCTTCCTAGAATACCATAAATTTCAATAAAGATTGAATTCATAAAATCTATGAGGTTGCAAAGCAATTGAATCTTCATCATCCACATGACGGCAGGTTAGTGGGAACCAGGTCACTTTCTTTCCGTGTGTTCATAACAATCAATAATATGGTATGAGGGTCAATCAACAAAAGATCTAGAAAGTTTGAAGAAAGGGAAGAAGAGAAATGTCAGGCGCCTTGCCATAATCAAATGTGCTCCCCATCTCCAAAAGAGAAAACTATTACTACGAACATAAAACTTATTCTCCACAGTCCACATCATTCAAAGCTCTCCATATACCAGACATATTGAAGCTCTTCAGGGGTTTCCTGGCCCAAACACAAGATACAACTCTATATTCAAAGCCTATGATATTTTTCCAAAGGTTGTCTCCTTTTTCCCTAAAGAGCTTAAGCAATCTTCCTAATAATGCAAAATTGGCCTCCTTGAGCTTTCAAATATCAAGACCAATGATATTCTCAGGGAGCCAGGCATATGACCATCAGACATGATGGAACTTATGGCCTTTGTGAGTATACTGCCAAATGAATTGGGTGTGATCAATACATGAGAGATGCCACCTGATATCTTGAATAAAAATATCAAATAAAATGACAGAACGAAATTTGAATTCCACCACATGGCCTATGTATACGATGGCCTATCTCCTCTTGAAGCACTCATGATTATACCAAGTTTTTTTCATTTTTCTCTTCTACGTAACCCTTAATCTTGTTTCTAATGGATACCCATTGATTATTTTTGTTTTAGGAGAATGTTAACTAATGGATACCCATTGATTACAGTTCTCCTATGCAATAATCAATATGATGGCTTCACAATTCGAACCTAACCAACAGTACAATCCACTATCTCATCTCATGAGCAATATTCACAAATTAAACTACCCCACTATAGCAAAAACAACATCCTTAATAGTTCTACTGATAACCATCTCACACAAGAAGAATAATTAAATCATCAAGCATGTTCTGCTTCAGACACTGATATATTTGAAGTTTTACTGGTCTAAAACAAACCCCACAAGTCGCCAAATATGATGCACATGTCTCATTTTTTCTGCTTGCACTTGCAAAGACATATTAGCGGGCAGGAGATATCACGCTGGGTATACTCCCTTGGAGCAAGAAAGAAAAGTTCAGTTTTCTCCGCTAGTTTCATTTGATCACCCTCACCAATTATCATATGAGAGAGAGAGATCAGTATGGTTTTCCAAATGCCGAATTGGATTGATGATCACAAAAAAAAACGTGAACAAAATCCAACGAAAGTGATTATTTATTGGAATTATGAAAACCTCACATGGATTGATGGATGTAAGTGAACCCCACATCGAGAAATACTTCATTTCTGAACCCTAAACCCCAAATTCCATTGCAGATAAAACAGAAAATCAAATTAAAGACAAATCTTCAAGCTAAATTAATAATGCAACAACGCACATCACAAGAACCAACAATAAAACAAAAACAAAAATCATATTACAAGATGAACTAAAATCTCGATCGACATGGGTACATCGGAAACCCTAAAAAGGAGAAGAGACTTACCGTAGTGGAGGGTAGAGGCGTCATTTGCAGGTATAGAGAGATTTGAAGCACAGGTTCTCCGAAGACAAAATGGAACTTGAGGCGTCCTTTATTTTGCGAGGGAATCCCGCTTAGATTATATGTTGGAAAATGGTTTGATAGGGCTGCAGCCCTATTTAAATAAGTAAAGCCTCATCTCATAACTGATCGAAAGTTACCATTCAAACGTTGGAAAATCGATCATCTCGGCTTAAACATCATGGTTATTAAGAAAAATTAGGATTTTAAGCTCTAAAAATAGTGTGTATTATAACAACTTATCTAGACCGTTTATGTTGCCATAAAAAGAAGAGTTCATAGACTTCTGATTCAGGGGCAAGGGAGGTCTGAGGATCGGGCTCTGTAGCTTTTTTGGGGTTAGACTCTGTAGGAGCTTCTGAAGGTACCTGGATTTTATGGGATCATTTAATTTTGTAGTCATTTTGTTCTGTTTGTAAAGAAAGATGTTTGCTTGTTGGTTTCAATGGACCCTCCTCAGAGTTCACATGGGGCCTTTTGAATATCTATGGACCAAACTTACCCGCTTTGAAGGAATCTTTTATTAATGAGATGATTGAATTAATTCAGGATTTTTATTATCCTTTATGCTTGGGAGGAGACTTTAATTTGATCAGATGACCGGATGAATCGATGTCTCGACCTCCTTTAAATTTGTCAGTCAAAGGTGTCCTTGGTGGAGTTGAAATTGACTATCTTTTCTCTTGTTGGTGATAAGGCATCGGGCCCTAATGGTTTTTCCATCATCTTCTTTCAAAGGTTTTGGGATCTGACTATAGGGAACCGCTTCAGATGGTTAAAGAGTTTTGTGATCGTGGGGAGATGTTTTAAGCAATAGCTCAAATGATTCACACTCCATTACTATAGAAATGGAGAGAAAGAGAGAGTTTCTATTTGGTTTAGGAAGAAAGGCATCGACCACGTAATTATGAGATTTAAACACGTATTCCATTTCATACTTTTAATATGACTCAACAAATTATAAACCCACAATAGTCAAGAAAACATATTGATTTCAATTTTAACTTGGTTTGCAATTACAAGTTTTGAGACATATTATTAAGAAATAATATTAACTCTTTTGTTATGGTGATATATCAAAGGGAAAATATCTTCATACCCTTTATTTTTAAGTTTCATTTTACAATAAACCAAAAGGTTTTAAAAGATATATTGGGGCATTAAAATTGTAGATTTTATTTCTTCTAATCCCCTGAGCTAATTTAAAAAAAAATTTAGGGCAAACAAATCTAAAAAGACATGTCTTTTCTAAAAGCTATCCTCCCAAACTTCTAGAGAGAGAAGGGCTTCATGGGTGAGAGGTTATCGAGAGGAGAGAGAGAGAGGTGTTTGGAAAAACATGGGAAGAGAGAGAGAGTGAGAGAGACGTAAAAAGATTTAAACATGTTTTTTAGGTCAAACAAATCTAAAAAGATATGTCTTTTCTAAATGTCATCCTCCCAAACTTCTAGAGAGAGAGAAGGGCTTTATGGGTGAGAGCTTACCGAGAGGAGAGAGAGAGGTGTTTGGAGAAACATGGGAGGAGAGAGAATAAGAGAGACATAGGAAGAGAGAAAGAGAAAAGTTTGGGATATATAAGTGAAGAGAGAAATGATTGGGTTTAAAAATAGCATGTCTTTCTCACATTTGTTTAGGTTAAAAAATGGGTTTAAAGTGGCCAGGGGGTTAGAAGATATCTTTTGAAACTTTGGGTTTATCAAGAAATGAAACTTCAAAATAGGGGATATGGAGATATTTTTCCTATATCAAAATATGAAATAAAGTTCATAATAATAGTAATACTAATAATTGAAACTTTGGGGTGGAATTAGGAGATTAAAATGTCATCAATTTTCTTTATAAATCTTCTCCATATAACTATAAAAAATGAATAAACAGTTCAAACTGAGTTGACGGTTCAAAAGTTCTAGGGTGATTCAAACACTGCTACCTAGAACTTGTTCAACAATTAAATCAAACACAGTACCTAGAACTTCCTTAACATTTCAGCAGTTTATCAAATACAGTACCCCATAACTTATTTAAGCCTTCAAGAAGAAAATATTTAACTTTTTAGAAGTTTTAAAAACATTCAACTTTCCAGAAGACATCTTTCAAAAAAACAAATATGCCTTAAGAGAGCTTGTATTCAAATATTTGATATAGTGAAACATAAACTCAATGGAAGTGTGGTCCTTTGTGCACCAAGATAGACAAATGTTATTTGTTGATACTCAGACTTAGCTTGACGTGCTAGACCAGCCAAGTTGGAAAATCCTTATTGGCTAGGCATAGAACAAAATCGATGAGGATTTGCATGGTCATCCCTTGATGAAGTCTGAGTTGCTTAGGAGAGTGAGCCAAGGGACTGTGTGGCTTTGGGTGTGATGGTAGGCCTTTAGAAATGAGGGCCAAAGCCTTATCACTGAACCATCACACGATATATAATATGATAACCATATCGAGAAAGCGAGTCACCATTGAAAGTGAAGCGAATCACCATGGAGGGTGAAGTATGTACATATGCGAGAGATTACTGTTTGATGGTATTTTTGACATACTTGTATCCCCGATGCAAATAAAATAGAAACCAGTGGCAACTTAAGCCCTCATGTACAAAAATACATGTGGACTATAGAAGCCCTAATCAAATAAGCCCTATTTTTCCAAAGCCTTGATAATGATGCCAGATCGGCCCTACATTAGTCACATGGGTCACTCGTGGAAATACAAAACCGCCCCTCAAGTTTCATTCAGTTCTGTTGCAAATCAAATAAAACAAGTAGAAATCAGTTTTCGGCCTAAGCCCCAAATATATCTACGATACACCATAGTCGATATTCTACTCAGAGGCTTCCAGCGACCATGGGACAACCACCGTTGGAATCGAAAGGCCGAAAACAATTGCCACAACAAATTTCAGCTCAATCCGACCTTCTTAAGTCGTACTTTCCATAAAAGACGAGGATATTTACTATTCACGGATGACCACTTGAGCCAGTTACTATATATAGTAAATGTGCTTTCCAAGGGCGGGATGGGTTTTGTGATGCTCATAACTCCCTCACCTTGAATGCAATGGTCCCCAAATACGGGTATGTCGTTCCCCTCACTTAGACCTATGATTTGGTGGGTGGCACGCACCGTGAGATGAGCCGAACATGGAGAAATTGAAGAGAGAAGTTCCTTCGAAAAGTGACCCAAAATACATCAATTTCTAGCAACATGTGTGCTCATTCTAATGACCATAACTTGAGATTTTGGGCACCAATGGATTAAAAAATCGGTCCATTGCGACCATAGCTCGAAGTGCTTTGTTTTGAATGCTCTTGGACTCGAAATGAGGACACAAAAGGCATCATATGAAGGCTAGAAAGAAATCGCATTTTTTGGTGCCTGAATTCCACTTTTCGACAACCTTCAAAATTGTTAAAGTGATCAAATGAATACCAAATCATAGGATTTTTATCACAAAATGATCCTAATGACTTCCCCAACAATTTGTGATGAAAAGAATGACAAAAAACAAGGCAAAACAAGCATGGTTCAAGCAAGAAGAAATTAATTTTATGTGTTTTGGCTGGAATTTCAAAACATAGTCAAAAATCCATTTCAAACTTATTAATAGGTATCAAAATGATCCCCTCGGCGAGCTCAACGCTTCTACATTGTTTGATCACTTAGAAAGTTGCTAGAAGATGCCAAAAGAAGGCCTGAAGCATGGCTATGGCAAAAGGCCCCTTTTTAAGTGATGGTTTTGCCATTTCCATGTTTGTAACCAAGGGTAATCTAGTTATTTTTCTTAAAAACAGGATTTATCGGTTAAATCTTTTTATTATAATTTTTAGCAATCTTTGTGAGTTTTTAGCTTCCACCAATGTTTGAGGGGGCTCATATATAAACCCTTTTTTTCATTTGTAACCCTAACCAAGTTAATGAAGGGAGGGATGTTAGCTTGAGTTTTGTGTGTGTGTCGCGACTCTTTTCACTTGAGAGAGAGGAGAGAGAATACTTTGCACCCTTGAAAGCTTACCCCTAGAACTCTTCACTTCCACTTTTTAACTCCCCACTCCGTACTTAGAACGTACCACTCCCAACTCCCATATTCCATAACTACTCCTATAGTCCCTAGACCGTCAACCCTATACTCCACCTTAATGAATAATCCCCATTTAGGTTCATGCTCCCTAGACTACTAAAACCACAAGCCTTAGACCATAACCCCATTTTTAACCTCCCATAGACCCTAGCTAACCCAAGTCCACTCCACTTAGCCCCAGTCCTTGGTGCCAAGGTCCAAGCCACCTTCAAGGAGGGACCAAGGCAAATCGAACCGGACCAAGGAACCAAGGCAACCCCAAGCAACCTTCAAGGAGAAACCAAGGCAACTCGGAACAGACCTAGCAACCAAGGCAATTCGGCTCATTGCTAGGTACTCGATCCCCTTCTCCCTCTCTATCTTAATTTTTTCTCTTACTCTATCTTAAAACTCTCTCCTTCTCTCTCTTAAATTTTTCTCCTTTTCTCTCTCTTAAAAGTCTCTTTCTCTCCCTTATATTTCACTTTCCCTATCTTAAAACTCTCTTTATCTCTGGAAATATATTGTATGTGAAATATATTATAGGCGTAATATATTACTGCTAATACATTACCTGCAAATGGATCATCACTGTTTGGGTAGTATTTATTTAGATGCAACTTGGGAAATACATAGCTAATGTGTGGCTATGTCTGTAAGAAATATGAGAAAAACATTACCATCCAAATATGAAAAATCTGGCTCTGTTTGGCTAACATGATTAGACTTTGGTTTCAACATGATAAGTCATTGGAATAATATGATTGGAAGAACATGATTTTATTGTGATAAGCTTTACTTTTTTTTATTTTTTATAGAAGCCTTTCAAATGTCTCTCTATATATAATTTCAAATAACCAATAAATTTATGATACCAAAATCAAAATCTTTATGGTACAGGTTAAAAAATGGGAAGAAGTTTGATTAGTAAACTAGAGTGTTTGGTAATTGCAGTATAAAATTTTGAAGCATTGGAGG